GCTCTGAACTGTAAATCAGTGTGGGACAAACAAATACAGCAGGTGGAACACAACCTTCAGCAATGTGTGATGGTTCGCTGGGAAGGAAGACCGGGTGGGGGTCGTTCGTACTGGAACCAAGGTGTCTTAGGAGTGTGCTCTTATCTTCATTTGCGAAAGGTTGGCTGGCTGCTGGAGTGGTCTAGTAATCCAGACAAATTACTGTCCTTGAATCTTAGTTTTAGGAGTTTTCAGCATTATAATTGGCTGGAAGAATATCATTTTAAAACAGTACCTTTATAAAGAATCAGATTTAACTCACAAACACACACCAAACTCATTCCATACCACTAGGCTTTGGGATAGTGCTGATCTGGCAGGTCTGCTGAAATATACTTCAGGGAATGGTTTGAATCTCGGGACTCCTGTTACTACAGACAGGAGAAAAATTGCTTTGGGGGCTACTTCCAAAACTTTTTTAAAAAGAATATTATGTTTATATGACTGCTTGAGTGTAAGAGAGAGATCCAGAGGACTTGATGTGTTTTTGCCAAAGCACATTGGCTGCTCCAACAGTTGGTTTAAACTTACAGAAATATGAGAATCCAAATGCTTCATAAAAACAGCACAAGGATGTCTACGGGGTTTCAGGCCTTTGTTTAATTTGGTTTTGGAATGTATTTCTATTCCTGTAGCATGTGTTGGCCTCCAAACATTTGGTTTTGTTTAGTAAGTACAAAGCTGTAAGATTTTCCCCCTACCAGAAGAATTGATCTTTCTCTGAGATCTTAGCAATTTGTGGAGGAACAAGACTCCTTGAAGATTCAGACTTCCATGGCCACATAGGTATGCAATCTGGTTTGTGCAAACTCACATTCCGTAATTACCTCCTTCTTTTTCTTGTTCTAATTACTGGGGGGGGGATTACATAAACAGCCACTGAGCCCCTCTTAATTTTAGGAAAGGTGGGGGGGACTTGTTTGGTCCTCCTTGTACATAATTAAGATATATCCTTGCATTTTTCTGTGGTGTGCAGGAATGCGAGTGAGAGATTTCTAACTGGCCTGTCTCCTTTACCTGCTATGAAAAAACCAAACATGATTTTGTTCAGTGTTTTGCCATCACTTTCCCCCCATGCTATGACCAGCTTCTTTCCCTGCATGACAGGACTGGTCAATGAGGAGGCAGTGTGGCTGAATTCTGGCTTTCTGTTCTCGGATTCCAAAACTGTCCAAAAGGCTGTTTGGCAACTCTATTCACTTAAATATCTCTTTGCAAAACTTCTGTAGCACACGCAAGTGCTGGGAAAGAGAACGAATGCCATCCTGGAAATGCCCCCATGTCAAAGAACCAGCTCCAACCTTTCAGGTCATTTAAGAATTCCAAAGTCTCCTCAAAGACATTGCACAGTGAAACATATGGAGCTCAGCTCAGGGTCTATGCAAGAGGATGTTTCCTGCTTAGCGAATCCGTTCAGATTAACTACACAAGAGGAGATCCTTCTCAATCCACACACCTGTTTCCCTAAGATCCTGTAATGAATGATAAGTGCTTGGCACCCATCTCAGGCCTGATCGGACAGCAGGCCATCATTGCTCCTCCTGAAACATGACACATAAAAATGGGGGGGGGGGGTTGTTTTTTAGTTATGCCCTCCCTTGGCCCTGAGGAACTCTGCTTGTTCAACTTCTATGTCCTTTGCACATAAAACGATGCTGCACTTTATTGCAGGCTGCTGAAAGTAACTGAGGAACTGACTGAGTGTGAGGTTAGCTAGAAATCACTTGTTTGTTTTTTTAATCTTTGTGCTGCTTTCTTTTTCTCCTACTTTTATTTAATTAAAAGCTGAAAGTAGAAACCTGAAGTTGACAGTTTGCTCGCAGGACTAGGCTTAACCTTGTGTTAGGCTCCTCATATCTGCCTGGTTAGATGAAGGTAGTTTGCTAAGATCTGTCCCTTCTCCCAAGAAAATATTCCATGTTTGGGTTCCCACTTGCCCAGACTGAGGGTATCTAACTTTTAATATGGATGGTGGAAACTCTTGGTTACTTAAGAAAACAATGCCCAGACTGTCCTACCGCAAGATGGAAGCTCTTGTTTCTTTTGTTACAGCTCCCAATTTATTTCTCTCTCTGAGGAAGTAGCAGCATAATAGTATGCAAAGGCGGGCAGTGGTATTTCCCTGATTCAGCAAATCTCTTTTTTGCTTTTTCAAGAGACAACCCGCCTGTAGTTTGCCTGACTACTTGGTTGAAAAAATCCAGCACTCTCTTAGCAACCTCTCCCCCACACACTGCCACCCCCCCCCCGCAGCCTGCAAGTGTATGACTGTTCAAGAGCAAGAGTTGTGTTTTGGAACTATTCAGGAATGCCAGCATAGCAACTCTTTGGCTCCAGTGAGTAGAGACCTCTCCACGCTCAGCCCAAGTGCAGCAACTGCAACCAGTTGGGTAGGGGGGCAATGGAAAGATGGAGCAGTAAAAGCAGAGAGGGACGGAGAAATGGCTTGTCGGTGAACGCTATGGTCAAGTATGGTGAGATAGCAGATAGAAGCTCTGGGGGCTTATCCAGTCTTCTGAATAGTACCGACTCATGGCCTCCCTGTTGAGGGATCTGCTCGCAATACGCCTTGGGGGTAGGAACGTCGTCCCCCCCCCCGCCCCATTCTGGCTACTTTAAAAGTGACTAAGTCTCTACTAGGTCCCATGCAGGCTTCTGGTTCAACCCAGGGCTGCTGAATGAATTCAGTGGTTGCTTCTCTATTACTGAAAATACAAATCCTTAGGTAAACACACAAGTTCCTTGGTAGAGAGGCAGAAAAAAGGGAAACAGGCTTATTTCAATACATGAGGGCATGTCTTGTTGTCTGGGCAGCCCTGGACTGCCCAGGTTTGCACCCCAGGGAGCTCACTTTGTGGTGCAACGCAGCAAGAATAATGTGGGATGCAGCAGTTATGAATTCCCGGCTTCTGCAGCCACAGCAGGCGCTGTGATTCTCCAGCGGTTTGACTTTGCCCCCGGAGGCATTTTCTCTCAAATCAGCTACAAGTGATCGCCAAAGAAGAAAGAAGAAGAGTGAAGAAATCTTTTTGCCCAATGTATGGCAAGAACCCCCCACAACCCTGAGATTAGAGTCTCGTGCTCTACTGACTGAGCTATCCTGCAGGCTCTTACTTGCCTGTTTAAATTATATATCCTCTTACCACATGTAGGTGTGAATTTGATTTTGCATTATTGATTGAGGACAATTTCCTTTTTCTGCTTGCTTGTTTTTTAACCCAAGGGAGACAGCAACAGTTGCTGGCTGTTGATCACAGTGCAATTCTATACACAGCTGCCTGAATATAAGCATTGTATTACTGAGTTTGATGGGGAAACTGCCAGAGAAGGAACATGCCTAATGCAAGATGGAGACATGATTTCCTAAATTTGAGCTGGAAGGTAAAATTAGGCCAGGGAGTCAGGTACCGTATTTTTCGCGCCATAGGGCGCCCCACCCCATAAGACGCACCTAGGTTTTTTTTGGGGGGGGGGAATAAAGAAAAAAAATTATTTTCCCCCCAGGCACGGGGCTGGCACAGGGGAAGCCCAAGCTTCCCCCGACCCCAGCCCCCAGAACAGCCTGCTATCCGCAAGCCTAGGGAGCCAAGGCTTGCGGAGAGCTGCACGAAGTCCGGGCGCACTCTTCAGCGGAATGCAGGCAGCTCTGCGCTGGTCTCCCAAGGGTTGCGCAGAGCTTCCTGAAGCCTGGAGAGCGAGAGGGGTCAGTGCGCACCGACCCCTCTCGCTCTCCAGGCTTCAGTGAAAGCCTGCATTCGCCCCATAGGATGCACACACATTTCCCCTTCAATTTTGGAGGGGGAAAAGTGCGTCCTATAGGGCGAAAAATACGGTATATATTTCAGTACTCCTTTTTGTATTTTTCTTTATTTTCTTTGACAAGATGAAATCATAGGCTTCTATGACATTTATAGGGACAAAGGTCTGGCAGCTATTTTGGAAACTTGGAAAGGCAGAGAATAAACTGAGCTGGGATGGACCGCTCAAAAGTATGAGCAAAATTTGCTAGATGTGAAAGATTGCATTAGACTGGCGAGATAACAAGGAAGTAAAACCATTAAATGATAAAATAGGGCAGTAAAACAATAAAATAAAACAATAAAAGGACAATAAAACTATAAAATGGTGAGATCAGCTGCCTCACCCTGCCTCACAGATCGGTGGCCATCTTGAATCGAGAAAGATTGCTGCCAAACAATAATTTTAAAACATTTTTTTTTCTTTACAGAAGGGAATTTTACTTCACGATAGATGTTTTTATCAATGTAAAACAGGCGTAGGCAAACTCAGCCCTCCAGATGTTTTTGGCCTACAACTCCCATCATCCCTAGCTAACAGGACCAGTGGTCAGGGATGATGGGAGTTGTAGTCCCAAAACATCTGGAGGGCCGAGTTTGCCTATGCCTAATGTAAAACATTTAAGAACATTTGAGGCTCGACATTTAACATTATATATTTTGAACTTATGTGGGTTACTGTAGAAATCTGCAGAAGAAACTTTATAAGACTAAGTGTCAACATGTATATAAATTGTTAACATGAGAACTGCAACATCTCATTAATAATAACCTTCATTTTCCTTGAATTAACTAACCAATGCAATTTCCTTGAATTCTGAAAGGATCTAGTTAACAAAAGGAAAAACTGGAGCTATATTATGGATGTGCAAAAAAAGAAAAGAAAAAAAGTTTAGCAAACAAACAAGAACTGTAAGCTTGTTTTCTCCTGCTCTGGAGGGTGGGACCCGAACAAATGGATTCAAGTTTGAAGAAAGTAAATTCTGACTAAACATCAGGAAGAAAGGACTCCCTCTGAAGGTGGTGGACTCTCCTTCCTTGGAGATTTTAAAGCAGAGGTTGGATGTCCATCTGTCGTGGATTCTTAAGCTGTAATTCTTGCATTCCAGTGGGTTGGACTAGATGACCCTTGGTGTACCTTCCTGGCCCTGCTCAGAGTTCAGGGTCACACCCCAGCCAGACCAGGCCAGGCCAAAGCTCCTCAAAGGGGCTGTGTGCTCTGGGAAGAGTTCTGAAAGTCAGGTGGGCGTGGGGGGGGGCTGCATGTGGCCCCCTGGCCTGAGGTTCCCCACTCCTGGGTTAGATCACCCAGACAAAACTAGTTGGACTTAAGCCCCAATTTGTTGTGAAAAGTTAGTCACGGCCAATTTATTCTTTCCCATTGATTTCTCCAGGACTCTGAACCAACCTGTGGCCTGTAACCTGGCTATGATGGGAAGTTGTGCAAGTCATAGGAAAGCAGTTCTTATGCCACCAGTTTAAAGCTGCGAGGGAAGGATAAAACGTAAGATCAAAGGATCCATCTCAACTCGGGTGAGGTTGGCAAAATCTGTCTGATGTCAAACTTCACCACTATTTCCGCTACCTCCAGATGATCACAAACTCTGTTCTGAAGTTGAGGAACGGAAGAGTTGGGGAAAGGGCATTGCATCAAAGAGAGTGGACACGGAGACCAGGTTGCGTTCTGTTCTAGAAACAGATCGGCTCTGTGTAGGGAAACAGCCGTGTACCAGGTAGACCGGGCGGGGCAGGGGGACAATTCCCAGTTCAAGTGCCAGTTTGTGTGTCTGTGTCTAAGTTTTACATTTACAGGGTCACCTGGCAGAATGCACTTTTTCCTTCCATGGACGCAGAAAAAAGGGGTTTGCTAAGCAGGGGCTAATGGCATGTTGTGTAGCTGCAAAGTGATGAGATCCACTCAGCAGCAGCCTTTTGAATTAGAGGGTGAGCCACAGCATGTAGTAGAGAAGAAGAAAAAATACATGCTGCTTCCCAGACCATGAAAGAGTGTCCACAGCAGTTACAACCACTGAGAATAACTGCAGTGGCATATAGAGCAGAGTGTACCACTGGGCTAACTATCTGTCTGAAATGGGACTAGTGTTTAGAGAAACTGACAGTGGTTATTTCATTTTTTTAAAAAAACAAACAGAACAACCAGTGATGGGAATTAGGCCTCTGTAGAGCTTGCATCTGCCCATCTGGAAGCCTTGCTCTTAAATCCCACAATCCTAGGTGGGTTGTGACAAGTACTCAGTGTTTGTGGAAATGCACTCTGCATATGACCAGAGGACCTCTCTTCCTCATAAGTCCCAGAGCTAAGGACTCACATTTTCTTTTCCGCTGGCTAATTGTAGAGATATACTGGGAGCCTTAGCAGGGCAGGTTGCCAAGGAATTGGATGGTTCTCTGTGAGCTGCAGAGCTCTTTGAATGGAAGGTTACAATCCCTGCAGTCTGTGTGGCTCACCTTTAATGCAAGCCGTGTTATGGTTGGCCTTTTCTCTTTAATGAAGCTGGAGCAGTTTCAGGCTTGCCACAGAAACCAAAGCCTTTAAGAAAACATATCTGGAAAGGGAGGCCAGAAACGCTGAGAGGAAGCTGGAAAAAGAATGGACGACATTTCTTGTTGGACACAGGAATGAGTCACCTGGGAAAAGCAGGAGAAGCCCCCAAGAGGCTCACCTGTCTGTCATGCAACTAAGGGCCAGCTGATATGAAGGCGAGCACTGCAGGAACCCCACGGGCCCTTTCACCAGTGCAAAAAGTGTGTTCTTGGGAGACGGAGCTTTGCAACAGAAAAGGTTGGGGGGGAGGGGGGCCAACCCTTTCCCTGCCAGTTACTTTCCCCCTAAAACACGACCGCCTTAAAAGCCCCTCATGTTTGTGAGATAAACACTGGAGGGAGCGCCCTGCTCTGGAACCTCACATGTTTTCAAGTAATAAAAAGTCCGGGCGTCTGAGCATAGCAGGAGTGCCTTGCCTTGAGCATTGTATAATCGCAACCTAGCTTTCACTACCTGGCCCTGCAGTGGGTTTCTGGGGGCAGGCAGAGAGCGAAATGTCCAACACCCCTCAAAACCCCACACATCTCCGTTTAGAAGTTAAGGACGGCTCCCCGCGCCCCGCCCGGAGCAGCAGCAGCTCCATTGCCTTCGACTTAAAGGGAGAAGCGCGTGCCCAGGAAGGACCCGAGGAGGCCCCACCGCGGAGCCATCTTCCTGCCTTGCGCAATAAAGGCGCTCTCCGCCGCTGGAATTGCTTGCACGGCTGGCTGCCGGCGCCATGGATTCGCAGAAACCCCGGGACTTCCCAGCATCGCTGTGCGTGCGCGCGCGCCCGTGGGCGAGGGAGAGCTGGGTCACTGGGTCTGTTTTGCAACATTATTCAGTGGCCATCCAGGGGAACCAGCTTTCCTTACGATGCGGCAGGCGGGCATCCTACCTTGCTTGCGCGCACAGGCGCGCCGCCTCCCGGCCCGGGCAGCCGCTGCGCGTCGCCGCCTGCTTTGCTCGCTCCTTGCTCAGCCCGTTACGGCGCGCAGAGCCCCCTGGTGGCGGAGAAGACGCCGGCAGCCAGCCCGGAAAGCGGGGCTGGATTTGGGGAGAGCAGCAGGGGCGAAAGGACTTCCGCCGCGTGCGCGTGCGCGCAGGGTTTGTGAATGGCCCCAAGCAGCGAGAAATGAAACATCTGCTCCGTGAGTCACTGACAGCTGCAATTCTCCCAATTACAATGAAGGCAAAACAAGCCTTTCTTGTTTGGCAAGAAAGATGCTCAGTTATTCATTCCATTTGGTTTGATGCTCACCTGCAATAGCTGAGATGCAAACCTGTTATAATTAAGCCAAAACACTATAAATATTCGGCTGCGCAGTGCCCAGTGTTACCGGTACCGGTTCTTTTTGCGTTTCTTTCTTGTTTGAATCTGTTCACAAACTGAGAAGATGCATATTGACCACTAACAATGAATCACATGCCTGAGATATGACTGTAAATTGGGTTATGGCTTTCCTTATGTGTGAATGACATAAGACTGTTATGGTCTACTTATTTGCATTTACAAATCATCTCCAGGACGCAAGGGAGAAACGTGCTAAGAGGAAGGCACACTTGGCAAATCCACACTGTGATCAACTCCCACCCAGAAACCAATGTTCCTACTGTGGAAGGATGTGTGGGTCCAGAATTGGCCTCCACAGTCACTTACGGACTCATTCTTAAAACCGAGTTTATGGAAGACAATCTTGTTCGGCTACAAGTGATTGCCAAAGAAGAAGACGACGACTTATTTGCATTATTTGCTGCAACTATATTCCTTTTACAGCTTCCAATAAAGTGTTATATATTAAAAACAGAACAAAACTATCCATTCTGAAGAAACGAGGGCTGCTGTGAAACAGGAGACATTGGCTTCTGATATGGGCGTTCTAGGGGCAAGGCCAAGGAAGAGTCAAGCACCAGAAATTATAAGAGGAAGCCAGGTTTATTGTGAACAACGACACAGGTGGCGCTGTGGTCTTAACCACGGAGCCTCTTGGGCTTGCCAATCAGAAGGTCAGGGGTTCGAACCCCCACGATGGGGTGAGCTCCCAGTGCTCTGTCTCAGCTCCTGCCCACCTAGCAGTTCAAAAGCACGCCAGTGCAAGTAGATAAATAGGTATCACTGTGGTGGGAAGGTAAACAGCGTTTCTGTGCACTCTGGCTTCTGTCACAGTGTCCCGTTGCGCCAGAAGTGATTTAGTCCTGCTGGCCACATGACCTGGAAAGCTGTCTGTGGATAAACGGCGGCTTCATAGAATAGAATCATAGAATCATAGAGTTGGAATAGACCTTGGCCTGAAAGCGAGATGAGCGCCTCACCCCATAGTCACCTTTGACTGGACTTAATCATCCAGGGTCCTTTACCTTCTTTTCTCTTTTTACCTTTATTGTGAACAGGAGTTGGTCTTCTTGGCAGCTAAAATGGAACTTTCATGGTTTTTATCAATGATGTAAATTGATTTTCTCACATATAACAAATATAGCAATCAACATGAAAACAAAGACAAATATTTGAAGGATAATTTTGAAGAGAAAATAACAAATACATTTCCACCCAAAACTCACTGATTATGAGGGGAGAGTGCTTTTGCTCTCAGGTCCTAACTTGCAGGTTTCCCACAGGTGGTTGTCTGGCTACTGCGGAAACAGGAGGCTGATGTCCTTTGGAAAATAGTTCACCATTGCTTTTTTGCTGCTGCAACCCACCAAGCACTCCTCCTGCAAGGAACAGGTAAAATGAATAGAATTGCTATTTTGGTTGAGAAAATTTTTATAATAAATTTATATTCAGAAGTGGGCAGTTTAGCCACTGCAGTCTGGCAATAGTCACCGTGTGTTCCATAAAGGATATTACACGAACTGTGGTTACCAACATGTGTAGCTCTGTGGTCAGCATATTCTGGTTCAGGAACATTCACCGTTGGCAGAAGGCACTACAGTCATACCTTGGGTTACAGACACTTCAGGTTGTGTTTCTTCGGGTTGCGGATCACCGAAACCCGGAAGTATCAGAACAGGTTACTTTTGGGTTTCGGTGGTTGCACATGCGCAGAAGCGCCAAATCACAACCTGCGCGTGCGCAGATGCGCTGCTGCGGGTTGAGGACGCTGCGGGTTGTGAATGTGCATCCAGCATGGATCACGTTTGCATCCATAGCTGTCAACTTTTCCCTTTTCTTACGAGGAATCCTGTTCAGAATAAGGGAATTTCCCTTAAAAAACGGGAAACTTTGACAGCTATGTTCGCATCTCGAGCGTCCACCGTAGTGGGAAGGCTGGATCCATGAGTGGCCCAGGCTCATCAAGGGGGAGCGAAGTAGAACCTAAGGCTTACAAAGCTTCCATCTTTCTAGTATTTAAGCTCAGCTGGTTTTTAAAAAAATGTTCTTATTTCACCTTTCTCTTTTATTTTACAGGATACAGAGAGTAACACAAGAACAAAGCCCCTCGCCTCCCTTCCCTTCTCAGACTACAAAGTTCAAGCAATTACATCTCACCACAGCTGTCCAGCAGAGTTTGTCCATTGTTACTCAGGTACAAAGTAAAACTACACCAAGTTTCAGTAAAGTCATCATCTTCTTGATATAATGAACAACAATAATAACAACAATTAATTCTTTTTAGAAGAAGCAGTTACACTTAAAAGCTTTTGAAACCCTCCTTTTAAGGTATGATTAGATAAAATGCACTGCCTGTTGGAGTGAGCTAACTCTCCTTGCTCTCAGCTTAGTTTTGGCGTACCTGTCAGGGGTTCCTGTCCTTCATATGCATCATGTAAATGAACTAGACCTGTCTCTTCCATCTTTGGAAATTTTGAGTTATGCCCAGATTAATAATAAATGGGGATATTTTAAATGAATCAGAGGGGGCATTGTGGGACAAAACAGTGCCCATGGCAATCCATAGCATAAAAGTCATGTGCCCAAAGACCACTCTCCCAGTTCTACTCTCCAGACATATCCTGAACAGGTTGGGAGCACAGTGTCAGCAATAGCTATTGCACAGAGTCAGTCCAGAGAGACACCATGCTTAATGGCATCAAAAGACACTGCGATATTGACCAGGATTGCCCTCCCACTGCCTTCTCATTAGGGTGACCAAGGCTGATTTGGTCCTGAAGCCCAGAACTGAAATGGATTCAGATAATCAGCCTCATCCCGGAATGTCTGCAGTTGTTCTGACACAACTCTCTAAATCCCCCTTCCCCAAAAGTGGGTACAGTCATACCTCAGGTTACAGACGCTTTGGGTTGTGCGGTTTTGGGTTGCGCACCGCGCCAAACCTGGAAGTACCGGAACGGGTTACCAGAATCGCGACCCGGCGCTTTGGGTTGTGGATGCTGCAGGTTCGCAACCCGAGCATCCACTGTATTTGCAACCAGGTGATAGCTGTTATAATCCATTAGGCCCTGGACCAGCTTTTCCCAGGAGTGGCTGCACCACTGCCTCCTTTAGGGTTGCAGACGCCACCTTCTCATGCTATGAAATGCTCACCACACCCTGCACCCACCCGGCCAACACTTCCCCAGGGGAGACACTTCACTGCCTGAGGCAAAATGGGAAGGCATCCCCCTCTACTTCTCCTCCGCTGAAGGCTTGCTTGCCTGGGTCACACAGCTATGGCTTCCAGGTTCCAGTGAAAACTCACAGAAAGCAGGAGTGAGAAGTGGCGGCAAGGTGGTGCATGAGTTCTGTGGGATGTGAAACACAAGAGCAGTCAAGTACAACATCCCTAGAGTGGACATAAAAAGGGGATGTCTGGACCAGACAGTTGGAACTTCCTGTTTCTCCTAGGCTGGGACAGACTTCCTCTGCATGTGACCAGAGGTGGGCGTGACCTCACCTGCCCAGGTAACAAAAGAGCAGGACTGGTCAGCCATCTTTCTCTCTCTGACCACATTCGTCGAAGAAGCAACATCTGCTTAGCCTAAGATGCTCTCTTGGCTTCCAGGCAAGAGAGGACAAAGGGGCTGTCTCCTTATGGGGTAGTTTCCAGGTGTATATTTCTTTTGTAACTTAAGTCTGCCTTCTGGGATCCAATTGTGAACAGAATGTGTGAGTAAACTATATACTTTTATAGAAGACTGTGTCGTGTCTATCTTTTTATGAGGGACTAAATGGGAAATTACCAACGAAACGTATTTTAGAGGCTTTAGCGAGCCTGAGCAAATGCATCCGCTGTGCAAGTTTAGAAAGGGGAATGTTACTCTGCTAAATTGTAGAACATGTTAACACAAGTTGGAAAGGATATAATCAAACAATATATCCTCTCCTGCATCCCGGAACATTCCCACAAGTTCTGCGAGCCCTCGCCAAAGGCCACCGCTACTTCTGACAGTGGCAGGGGGCAGGTGCCCATGGGGTCCCACAGCCCAAGGCAGGTGCCTCTGGCCCCACAGCCTCCCAGGCTGGAGATCATTAGGCATCCTGGGCCACAGAGGTGGATTTACGCAAGTGCAACCAGTTCGGTCATACTGGATGCAGTGCCTCGGGGTCGCGGCAACTGTTATTTGGAATGGTGCATGAGAGGTGGGGGAGGTGCCAACTTGGCATTGCACAAGGTCCCACTGAGATTTGAGAACCCGAGGTCTGCCATGGGGGGGGGGCGCGGAATCCAGACTGTGCCGTTGCACCCATGCGATGGGGTGAAGCAGTCACCTCGGGCAGTAGGCACCAGCAAGGTGCCCCCCTTGCAGCAGTCCTGCCCACCCTACTGCCTCCACCACCGGCAGAGGAGCCAGGCGAAGTCAGTGCCTGAAATCCCTGCAGAATGTGTCCCTCCTTTAGCAGGCTCAGCTGGGGAATGGAAGGAGACAGAGAACCAGGGAGTCTCTTGTTTCTGCAGGATTGGGCAGCATGGGGAGGGAGACATTGGAGGGGAAACATAAGGGAGGGGTGTGTGTGTGTGTGTGTGTGTGTGTGAGAGAGAGAGAGAGAGAGAGAGAGAGAGAGAGAGAGAGAGAGAGAGAGAGAGAGATAACATTGGTCATTTTCTCCAGCTCCTGTGTTGGTCCCCTCTGCCAAGAGGAATAAGCCATTCTGCTTTCTGCTGGTTCTCTTCCATTCATTAAAGGACCCTTTTGTTCTGGAGTCCATTTTTTATTTATCTGAAAACAGCCGGTCTCCATGCAGAACTTTGCTCGTTCTGTGGGGAAAGTGGGTCACGCTGCGCCTATGACTCTTGGGTGCCCCCTGCTGGTGCCTTTCCACATATGCACAGAGAAGTCCCAGACCCATTGCGCTCTTGGTGAGGATGTCTGCTCCTGTCAGCCTCCTCACTCTCCCTCCATCTTTTATAATCCTGCAGTGAGCAGAGGCTTCTGTTGCTCGAGGAGGGCAAGAAGAGATGAATAATTCAGAGACAATTCTGCAGCAGCAGCCAGGAAAGCCTGCCATTCCCCACTAGGTTTCCACAATGAGATTCGCTCTCCTTCCCCCTCAATTCCGGCATCTGATACACAGAGCAGGTCACAGGCCTGGCTTGTGTAAAGGAACCAAAAACATCCCGCCGGAAAAGAAGAGCTGGCTCTTGGCTGCAGGCCTCCCTGTTGCTCCCGGCAAGTTTCCCCCCCGAGGCCCAGCCATTTCCTCTGGATGCACCTGGGTTGGCTCTTGCTGACAGGAGACAAAATCTATTTTAAAATCCTGAGGAAGTCACGCTGGGAAGGAAGATGCCTGCAATTTCCTGGTCCCTTATATTTGTGTCAGAATTGAGGCCGTGGAAAACAGGCCTTGATCCTGCCTGTGAGCTGGACCAAGAGAGCCACAGGCCCTGGCAACCCAATTTTCAGGTTTTAGAAATAGCTAGAGGGGGAAATACCACCCCCCTCTACACACACACACACACACACGTAATTATCTACTAATGAGGGAAGTGCTGTGAGACAGTCCAGTACATATATATTTATAACATAGCAACAGTTTCACATGAACGAGAGACGTGAAACTAGGACAGATATTAATTAATTATGGAGAAACAGAGAGCTGGCTTTGGCTCCCTTAGTTCTGTTCCTCAGCTCCTGTTGGGATTAGCTGTAGATACTTGCTCTGCTGCTTGATTCACAATGTTGTTTTTAAACAGTCATTTAGAAGAAACAGGACGTCCGCTCATCTCTCTCCATAACTGCCCAGTCCTCAAGAGTACACTGTACCAGCACACAAAGCCCACTGAAACGAGAGGCATTTGAGCCTATTCAGGCAATACATGAGATTTCATCCAGCTCCCCATTACTTTCAATTTGCCTTCTCCCCACCAAAAAAAGCTTAGCCACTCCTGGCTTTCCAATGTCTTTGTATTTGCTCGCCTGGCACATCCAGACAAGGTTCTTAGTGGGCAATTGCCCTGCTTTAGCCACTCACCTTTTCATGGGGAATCTTCATGTCATCAACCAGTCATTGCTCCCGTTTTCTTCTGTCTCTTCTCAGGAAGTCCAAGGGTGCACCCAGACTGGGACATTACTTGCAAATGAGCTGTTGACAACAGGCTTTTTTTTTTTTTTTTTAAAAAAAAAAACTTACCAGAATAGAGGTTGGCTTTTTGATGCCAATGGCCTTGCGTGGAGGGTGCAATAAACTTCCATGCACTAGAAGTACGATAAACTGCCATCTGGAAGCTTCTCAACTTTCCTTTAGAGTGCACAATCTCTGCTTGCTTAGGAAGCCTTGATGCTACTCTTCTGCCTGGGGCAGGTGAAGGCATTGCCAGCCAACAGACCACTTTTCTAGTTGGCATCATTTAATCAACCCCTTCATTTTTATTCCGTCTCCTAAATACAATGGTACCTTGGTTTCCATGGCTTGGGCGTGCTGCAGACCAGGCCCTGCGGTAAGTGCTGCCCCCCAGGATGTGACGCCCAGTGTGCCCCCCAGCTATGCGTCTGAACTCAACAGAATGACGTGGGGTCACATGTTTTTTGCCATTTTCTCACCCCGCTCAGTGACCCACACCCACCGCACACCCCTTCCTATGCCACTGGTACAATTGCAGTGGCCAGTACACTTTTCTGTCTGTACATACAATTGTGCAATACCACATACATGTTTTTAAAGAGCAGTGATGTCTCCATTTATTTGCCAGGGGTGGGGTGGGAGAAAAAAGCACTCCAAAAACAGCCAGCCAAGGGCAAAAGCCCACTCCATCTCCAGCAAAGGTCCTATTGCACCAGGGTCCTGGGTGGGAATGGGTTTTATCCACTTGGTTTGGGAGATGAACCTTTCTTTCATCCCATGCAGATCAATGGAGAAACCAGTGTCTATTGGCTTACCCAAGGGTGGGAGAGAGGAGGACGCTACCCCTCCCCCCAAAAAAACGAGCAACAGAGTTTTCCAAGGAGATGGCCCCACTTTAGCCCTTTACGTATTACTTACGTATTACTTAATACGTATTACGTATTAAGTGGTGCCTTTCTCCCATGCAGTGCAATGGAGACACTGAATTTTCCATTCAGTGCTCCTACCTTAAAACTAAACTGCTTATTTATAAATTTTCTGTTTTCCATCATATAGCTACGATGAAACTATACAAGGTTGTGGATTTGATGGAAGAGGGTCTGTATGCAGAGCTAGAATATAGGGTGCCTGCTTAGATCAGTGTTTCCCAACCGGTGTTCCGCGGCACATTAGTGTGCCGTGAGACCTTGCCTGGTGTGCCGTGGGAGGGAGGCGGGAGAGGCGGGGCAGCGGCGGCATCTCCTGCTGGATGCAAATCCAAACATGGCGGGCGCCTCCCTCGCTCCTTTGTAGGCGGACCATCGAGAGAGAAAGAAAAGGAGGCGAAAGAGCGAGAGAAGGCGCCTGCGTGGAAAGAGGAGCGAGCAGTGCGCCTGCGCGCCGCGGCGCCCGAGATCGCTTCTCCCCACCGCCCCTTGCTTCAAAAGAGGTCCGGGGACAGCGGGAAGTGCTTCGCGCTGCCCCCGGACCTCTTTTGAAGCAAGGGTTTGCGGGGAGAAGCGATCTCCCCGCAGCCCCTTGCTTCAAAAGAGGTCCGGGGGCAGCGGGAAGCGCAGCGCTTCTTCCCCGCTGCCCCCGGACCTCTTTTGAAGCAAGGGGCTGCGGGGAGATCGCTTCTCCCGGTGCTCCGAAGCGGGGCGGTGGGGCGGGAACCTCGCACCCCGCCGCCGGGCATCGGAACGATGCCCCGATGCCGGGCGGTGGGGCGGGAACCTCTCCCCCCGCCGCCGGGCATTGGAACGATGCCCCGATGCCGGGCGGTGGGGCGGGAACCTCTCCCCCCGCCGCCCGGCATCGGAACGATGCCCCGATGCCGGGCGGTGGGGCGGGAACCTCGCACCCCGCCGCCGGGCATCGGAACGAGGTCCTGGACCTCTTCTGAAGGCAGGCGGGGGCAAAAGTCTTTGCTCCCCCCGCCTGCCTTCCCGGGACAGCGGAGACTTCTCCGCTGCCCCGGGCGATCTTAAAATGCTGGCGGGCGGGAGCGAAGCGTTCGCTGCCGACCCCCAGCATTTTAAAATCTCCTCGGGGCAGCGGAGACTTCGCTCCCGCCCGCCAGCATTTTAAAATCGCCCCGGGACAGCAGGGGCTTTTAAAATGCTGGCGGTCGGCAGCAAAGCCCTCCTGTCCCCGGAGCTTGCGGGGCGGGAGGTGGGAAGAAGGGCTTTTCTTCCCACCGCCAGCCTTCAGAACAGCCTTCTGAAGGCTGGCAGTGGGAAGAAAAGCCCTTGTCCCCCCCCCCCAGCCTTCAGAAGAGGTCGGGGGACAGACTGTCCCCGGACCTGGTCTGAAGGCGGTTTCCCTAGG